CCGCCACGGGATTTATAATGATGCTGTCTGTAAACTCAAACGTTGTAGCAAATTTGTTCTGCAAACATGTGACCGAGTTTGCGGGCGTTATGCTGGGATCAAAACTGCTTGTAAAAATTGCTTACCCTGCTCGAAAACTGGTCGGCAGAATTGTAGTTTAAAGAAGTTGTGATATGTATAGCAAGCCCTAAACAAAGAATAATTGTAAGCTAATTCCTGTTATTTCTTTTCATTTTCTTTTACAGAAAGGACGTTCTGCTTCTTGTTCTTTATTGAATCAGCCGAAATATTTTCTTTCATTGTAAATACAAGTTCCTTGCGTGGATTTCTTATGTGAGAGAGATTAAAACTAAGCTTGAATGGCTTTGTGAATCACCGGTAGAGTAATTTATCAGTGTTTTTCTTGATGATTGTTTATCTTTGTGGTAACGGGTCAAAACAGGATTATTTTTTTGATATTAATAAGACACGGAACGCTGTATCAGAATATTGCATTTTACGTGTATGACATTGGCAGTCAAAAGTTTCTATCTGTGCTATCTGTTATGTATTAATCAAGCAAACTAAAAAATAAAAACATTTTTCAAAATACACGGTATTTTCCTGATCAGCTTTTTATTTTTTTTAAAAACTCTTGTGTGCTCTTTCAAAGCTGAATGGGGTTTTCCTGTCACGTTTTGGCCCTCAATTTCTGTCTTTGTTTTATACTGCTTCAGCTTCATCTCCCTCGTGAATGTTAACATTAAAGTACGTTTGCCCATTCTGCAACGGAACAGAAACAACCGAAGTTCTTCTAAGTGATGAACGAACTTCTGGTTGGCTACCCGCAGCTAATAGCAAATTGCTTTCACATCCGGGAATTACTGTCCTCAAGGCGCGGCGAAAGCTCGGGAGGCGCCATGCGTACAGAAAAGGATTAATCGCAGAGTTTAAAGTCACGCCAAGGAAAGATGTGTCACGCAACCAGTGAATGTACATAAATTCATTAGGTACATCAGAATGCATGGTATAACGTAGCAAACTCCAAACAGAATCAGAATCGAAGTGAATGTGTTGGTAAGCTTCTCTTCGAACATCGTTGCTTTTCGATTAGCCATGCACAGCCCCTGTAAACTTTCCTTGCGGAATTTCTTCCTGTGTCGAATGGTTTTAATTATCTTCAAGTACGCAGTAACTGACACACATAATGTTAGAAGGATCACAGAGTTTGCGAAAAAGAACGCAAAGGCGCGGTAACCTAGATAAAAATAAGGTGCGAGGAACATGGGCGACAAAAGCCATATTATGCCCGCAGCAAGCAACACTCTGGAGTTATTCACACTTTGTCTGTACTTTAAAGGCTTAGAAATTGCAAAGCAGCGCTCGAGGGTTAATGCCAGTATACTGAATACAGACACCGTACACGGAAGGAAATACAGAACGTGTAAAATCTTGATTAATCTCAGAGAAGTAACAGAACACGCTTCCATAAAGTGATAAACCACTGAGACAGGTTCAGTTGCGGCGCCAACGAGCAAATCTGTCGCAGCAAGATTTAGAATGAAGTAAGTAAAGGGTGTGCGTAAGCTTTTGAACTGAGGAGGGCTCTTCATGATAGTGAGGCATACGAAGATGTTACAAGGAACAGCGACAAGTGATAAAAGCCCTGATACGGTGGCGGTGAAGACTGAAAGATATCCAGGAACCGGGACAGCTGCACATTGGTCTTGTACTTCAAGCTTAAGCATCTCTCGCCTGTCTGATATTGCCGGAAAATGTTGCAATTTTTCTTCTCTCTAAGTCAAAAAAATCAAATTTATCTTTCCTCGTTTCTTGTGGTTCGTTATCTGTTTATGACGGACAGAATTGCGAAATTGATTGTTATAGTCGAATTCTCATTGATGAAGCACGTTTTTCGTGATAGAACTTGATAGAGCTCTCGTGATTTGCTTCACCATATCCAACAGACGCTTATTTACCGGAAGCAATCTCAGAAACAAATATTTAAAACAGAGTCTTATGTATATATACATTAACTTTGCCCCAGGGTAATGCAATTTTTCATTTCTTCTTTCTGGGGTTTATATATTGTAAAACTTTTTTCAAGTGGTAATTTTTCATAAGTCTCTTTTTGTTTGGTACCTCAGTTTCGCAAAGCGACCAGATATTCGGAAATTTACTAGGTTTGTCGAAAGATTTTTAATAATTTTCCTTGAAATTATCTTTCTACTGGCTTTTAACGGAAACAATAAGTTTGTAAATCTACCAAAAACGATCGTATCGCCCCTCTTTAATATTTGCATAATGAAGGCTGTAAAAAACGTGCCCTTGGTTTGTTCAGGAACTTAGCTGTCAGTGACTTCATCTGAAAAAAAAAAATCGGTGGTCCTTGAGTGGCCCAAAATTGCGTTCTGTTTGTTTCCTGAACTAGATTCAGATAACCTTGAACTGACTTATTCTTTGATTTTCATTATCTTGATAACAGTAACATCTTTCAGACGTTCCCACGTTTGGCAGTTTAGAAAACAAGAGTGGTAAAGCTTGTTGACAATTTGACAGTGTAAATTTGAGTTAAAAG